CCTTAAAGCCTCCAACAGCCACTTCCGTTCACTGGGCTCTGACGCTTTATTAGCTCCGCCCCCACTTCCGGGATGGGCGTGGGTGCTGTTAAATAAGTCCGGCCCCAGCCCACCTTACGGAAGCTGCGCGAGGCCGGGCTGGTTGGCTGTTCTGCGCGGTTCCCCGCCCTCTCACGTGATCGCCTGTTGGTCCCAGAAGTGGGGTTTTTTCGATGGTAGTTATCTGTGTTACTTTATTACCATTTTAACTTAGATATTTTCACTACCAGTGTCGGCTCAGCGTTCTGATACGATGTTTTGAGTTCGGGATTTAATAGGTGTGTATGAGTCGGCAAGCTTGGCCTTCTCCTTGAAGACCCTTTCTGGTTTTTGCTCGAGCGCGTCTGTCGCGACGGTTACTACGGACGCCTAACCCTGCAAATTCAGGTTACTTAGGCGCGTGACCGGTTCTTAATGGCAACTCAAGAGACAGTCTTACCAAGTTCAATCCCATTATGAAGCACGCCCCAGGAAACAAAATCTAATTCAACTCATGAATTTTGTGCTGTGGAACGGATTTCTGGTTATCAGTTTTCTACTCTGTAGAGTGGAAATAATAATAGACTACGTTATTGGTGGTTGTGAGGATTAAATGAGACATGCATAAAGTTTAGACATAGTAAGTGCCCAATAAGTGTTAACTATTATCAGTAACCAACTTCAATTCTCATAAAAATTTCATCCAATTTTCATCCAAATCAACGAATTAAACACTTTAATTCATTTATTCAGTGAATATTTATTGAATGTTTACTATGTGCCAGGCTCTGTTGCAGACTCTAAGATATCAGAAGAGGAAAAGACAAAAGATCCTTGCCTTCAAATAGGAGTAGATAACAAGTAAAATATGTTAAGATACATAGTGATAAGTGCTGTAGAGATAATATAACAAAGGGGATAGAGATATTAGGGTTTGCAGTTTTAAACAGGGTGAGACAAGAAGGACATCACTGGAAAGCCACTGCAGAGTTTTGAGCAGACAAGTGATACGATCTGACTTCATATTTTAAAAAGTTCTCTTTGGCTATTGTGAGAGACTATAGACTTGGGTGGGGGTGGGGGTGGGGGATGGGAGTGGGGAGGTAGTCAAGGAAAAGAAAGGCCTGTTAAAAAATGATTGACATAATACAGATCGTTGTATAGGTGGTACCAGTTTGGCTTGTAGCAAATAGGATTTGCTGACAGACTGGATATGGGTTGGGGTGTGGGGGAAGCATAATTCCAAGGTTTTGAGCTGGAGCATTCGATGTTCCTAAGAGTTGAGAATCTTGATTTTCAGAGGTATGTTGAAGAAAACAGCAGAATATCAAAGGCTTAGAATTTGGTCGAAGTTAATATAGTGTAAATGTTGAGTCCTTGCTCTGGATCTAGACTACTTGTATTGACTATTGGCCCAAGTATTCAATCACTAGATTTATGATACTGGCTAATTATTTAACCTTTCTGTCCCTAGTTTCCTCCTCTGTAATAGGACCTACTCATTGGGTCGCCGCAAGGCTTAAGTGATTTTACACTTCAGAAACCCTTAGAAAAGTGTCTGACAATGTTTTAGTTTATGTTAGTCATTGCATAATTATTTTTGGTCACCTTCTAGATCTTTGTCACTACTTGGTTTTTTATTGAGTTCTGATATATTCATAGGCAAAATTCTTACATATTGTAAACACCATCTTTACCACTTTTATCTCTTAAATGTGGCAAGTCATACCTAATGATGCATGGTGTAACATGACTTAGGCTAAAGTTCCTTCTGGAAAGTATCACTGTAACAATCTAACCTTTAACTTGTAGTAGAAATAAGCTAAATATGAGTTAAATTTGAGGATACACTTGTGAGGCTTGAGCTTCCCAAGTGTGCCATGGCATATAAATTGATAATCACTACATTATACCATGCTGCTGACAGTGAATGCCTATATGGGGATATTTTTAAAAAGTGACAGTGGTGTTTAGGTGATATTCTGGGTTCACTAGGTCAATGTATATATAAAATACTATTCAACCTCTGTATACCATTTTAGTTTATAAAGCACTTTCACACACTGGTAGTAGCCAGCTTCCCAAATGGCCCCAATGATTCTTGCCTTCTGGTACTAATGCACTTGTGCAGTTTCCTTCTGCAATGAAACAAGCTGTTAAGTGTGACCAATAGAATATGGCAGAAATGAGTGTGTAACTTCTGAGTCTAGATTATCAAAGGTATTGCCTTGTACACTTGGATGATTTGCTCTGCAGGAAGTCAGCCATCATGTCATAAATTCACTACGGCAGCCCTGTGGGGAGGGCTATGTGGAGAAGAACTGAGGTCTCCTGCCAAGAGCCAGCTTCAAATTGCAGCCATTAGTGAGCTAGCTACCTTGGAGTAGATTGTACAGCCCCAGGCAAGCTTGCAGATAAGTGCAGAACCAGGTAGCATCTGATTGCAGCCTCATTAAAGATACAGCAGAACTGCCCAGCCAAGCTGCTCAGGACTTTCTGACCCAGAGAAGCCATAAGCTATTAAGTGATTGTCGTTTTTAGCGCCTAAATTTTGAGGTAACTTGTTACAAAGTAATACATAATATACTAATTTGTTCCTTCCTATTGCATTGTATTGTGCTGGAGAGGAAAACGAAAACTTGGACAAATTAAGCAACTTCCTGATGGTTATATATATTTAAGTGCTTAACTTGTAATTGGAAATACAGGCTATTTAAGCCAAGACAGAATTCTATGACACTATTTTCCTTGGGAGCTCATCTTAAGACAGCAAGTTCCACTGACGTGCCTTTTTGCCATACCTGTACTTAACAAATTCTATAAGAGATATATATTTTTCATTGTGACTTTCATGGCAGCAGCTGTAGTAAAGGTGGCCCTCCGACAGTTCCAGTATTGGGGTCTCTAACTACTGGCCCACAATATTACTAAAGCCACTCTTTATTACCTGAACCCACTCTGTTTCTAAAAGCAAAATAAATTGCCCTGGGCTTCCTGTTGCTGAAATGAGAAAGCTAAGGAGAAAAGAGAATAGTGCTAGTTTTTAAGAAAATTTTCCAAATAAAAATTTTAAATAGTAAAAAAATCATGAATCATGTATTTTTCATGAATCATCAGAACAGGTGACTGCTAGCACCAAACCCCTATCTCATATTCAGGTTGGGGCAACATTTACACAGAATTTACAAGCGAAGCAAAACAACACTGGAATAAAAAAAGATTAACACCTATTGGCAACTGGGCAATACTCGACAATTCTATTCCTCTATTTCTCATGAGCTACTCTTACTATTAGAGACGACTTCTTGAAAGCATGTTCTAGAAATCATTAAAGGTATGGAAGAAAATTTATTTAGCTTTGTCAGTCTTTACTTTCACAATAATACATATCCTTGGCACAGGAAGACCCTGTTGAAATTTCATTAATTGCCTTAAGGTTAAAATTTAGGTTGATTTTATGAGGCTTTCAGACATTAAGTTTGAGAAAGTTAATGGTTATCAGGATTTGCATACATGATCACAATCAAAACAGTAAAATAAAGAACAAGACTTTCTTAACAGCCCTAAACACAATAAATTGCAGTTTCTAGTCAAACATTTATTCCTATATTTATTCTGCTCTCTTCCATTTTATACTCGACTTTTTTTCTGAACATGGTTACAAATAGTCTTAATACCACAAAGTCACTGGCTACCTTGGCTATATTTTTATCATTTAGAGTTGGATGCTTATTAAGCCAGTTATACGCCAGTAACTTTGCAATGAAAAAAACATTGAGATTAGAACAAATAATGAGATTAAGAACAAATACTTCACTGATTCTCATCCAATTTCAGTAAAATCACTTCCCAAAAGCAATAATTCTGCTTGACAAATTCTATGTCTCAATAGAATTTGAAAGAAAAGTAAAATTATGGGAAACATGACAGTTTACTAGACACTTTGTACTTTTAATAGTTCAACACTGGTTAATACTTCATAAGAGTAAATTAATAGGCTAACATTGAAAAATGTGTACTTTAATAAGTATAAAGTATATAAACAATTAGGTAAGCTTGTGAAGCTGACCAAGATACATAAATTAGGAGATACAAGTATTCATCTAAATTTCCTATATATTTTTTTTACAGAATATTTATTAAAGTTGTTTACAGTTTCTCGTTTGTCATTTTGGAAGTCCTTTATTGTAAAGACTATTCTTTTGCCTGATGAAAAACAGCAGCCACATTGTCTGATTATTCTGGACCTCCACGCTGAAAAGGAAAAGATAAAAAGATTAGGGGTTAAATTTACAGAAAGGTTTTCATGGCCATTATATAAATTTACACTATTTTAAGCAAATGATATTTAGTTTTTTTAAAAAACAATTTCATTTTTTTGAATGCTTTTAGGCACTCATATCAATGTTACAAACAATTTAGATCTGGAAGGGACCCAAGGTTGACCTAGATCAGTGGCCCTCAAATTTATTGGTCTCAGAAGTCCTTTACACTCTGAAAAATTATTGAGGACCCTAAAGAGCTTTTTTAATGTGGTTATATCTATTGTTATTTACCATATTATACTGCTACACATATTTTCTTTCATACACATTTACTGAAGGCCTAGTTTACTTCTCATAGTCCTAGCCTACCAGACCATCTGTGTCTTAGATATGGACACACTATGACAAGACAATGAGAAAAGCATGTAAATTAGCAGATGAAGTTCTAAAAGCCAAAAACTGTTAAGGTGTTTTGCTCTGTGATCAAGACCAATAACATACCTGGATAAATTCGATTTCTTCTTGAGACACAGGTTTCCTTCTGTATTTCTGAGGTAATGTTTTTATTATTTCTGCAGTGTCTGGTGGACCCTGATACATCAGCCAATCTGGTGATTTACTTCCCTTAGAATGCTGTGAAACTGAAGAAGAGTGAGATGGTAGTCCTGCGGATCTCAAAACTTCTGATGCTGAAATTTAAAAAATGTAATTAGAGAAATTATTCAGGTGTCTTAAAATACTATTTTGAGTTATGTATTGAATAATCTAGTCATTCGTGAAATAAGTATAATTCTGAGAGGTAAGTATTATAGAGTAACTTAGTTGGGTAGATACATATATATAATTTCATAAAGTTCTTTTTAAAACAAATGAGGTACTTTTAAATGAGTGAATCGCTAAATTGAACAAAAAGTATATAAAATAATGAAATTTTTAGGTAGTGGAGTTCAATCCATATGAATAACCTACAAGTTTTGTCATATGTTGGAGTTTACACGTATTATCTTATAACAGGGAATAAGAAAGTTGGTAAAAGTAGATGAGATTTGTTTTCTCAGTAACTTTATACTTGTTTATCTCCTGTATCTTCTTTCTTATAAAGAGTTACAATAAGTTAAAAATATCTGTATAAAATTCGTTAAAATTCTTCCTGAATTAAGGATCAAATAAATACCTTATATTCAAGACAGGGACGGAGGATCTGGTTAAAAGGAAGGGTCACAGAAAAAGAGGACTTGTTTGGAAACTTCAATTACTTTGTAAGCAATGATTGCTAAGGTCTACAACAATCTAAAAAATATTTACTGATTGAATAAATAGATAAATGAGTGAATGAAAGAAAAGATTAGCAGGGAGAGAAATATTTAAATGGTTATTATTCCTCGCCATATCTGCAAATGTAAGTTTGGGAGATTCTTCTAAAGGATAGAAGAAAGGTAAAACAAAAATTCCCCTATAAAAACTTGATATCATTAAAAATTCAGAGACATTGAATTGAGTCGTTACCTTTTTATTTTATTTATTCCCCCTTCCCCTTGTAACCGCCCTCCCACCCACACACACACACTTCTACCCCTGAGGTATGGATGTTGCCATTTCCCCTTAAAAACTGGATTTCTGAAGGCGGGGCATCTCCTCCCACACACTTGTGGTGTGCACCTGGGTGCACCTGGGCCTGGTTCGCCCTAGGCCTAACGAACTCGGGGTATGGTCCATGGCTCCACCTGGGGTGCGAACCCAGGACCTTCTGCGTGTAAAGCAGACGTGCTAACCACTACTCTATGGAGCCACCACCAAGTCATTACCTTTTCAAATGGAGGTAATAAAAGTTGATTTTATTACTTTTTTTGGCATGTAACCTAAGGTACCATTTTGACTAAGCTACGGTCTACCTGATTTTAAATGAAAAATATTGCCTATAATAGGATATTCACGTGTAAATATACATGTATGCATTAAAAAAACCAAAACATTAAAGTATAACTTACCATTGGGTTTAGGATGGTCTCTTCTATCAGGGAACCTTATTAATGGAGTATGTGGCTTGACCACCTAAAATGGATGAAAAAATGCATAGAAAAAAAAAGATGATACTTTAGAATAAACTCATTAACTATACATAAAAGAAACAATCTACTAACCTCATAAAGAGGTACCTTCATTAAAATAACTTATTATTTGGCAGCACCTTTAAATTTTATTATTTTACTTTTCTTCAACCATGAAAGCTAGGCTATAAACTATTAACTAATTTGTTTATCTCCTAGTCATAATGACTTTGTACTTCGTACATCACAGGATATTTTACTGTACTGCAAACTGACCTCAAAGGCAACCCGATGAAGACTACATTGATTATGTTGTGTGATTGGTGATTGGATGTTTCCTGACATGTATTGAGTATTGCTTCCCTACTCCGTTAATATTTAGTGGTTGAGAATAGGATAAAAAAGCTTATTGAAAATTAGGTAATTAAAAAAATGCTTTTTCTGGCTACAAAAGTAACATGTTCTGTGTAAAAAAATTGGAAAAAATACAGAATACACAAAGAAGGAAACACTATCCATAATCCCAAAACCCACATAAAATAGGTTTAAACCTTTGATTGTCCTTTATTTTACTTTTTCCTATACCCTTAGAAATATATATTCTTAGAATACTGTTTTTATAACAGATATTTGAAGAGAATGTTTTATCCCTAAAATTCCGGATAATACTATAGAGTACCTTACATGGATCTCTCAGTATAAAATCTTCTCAATATACAAGGCTAAGTCTCTATAATAAACACAGTACTGTTTTCAACTAAAGTAATTTGTAAGTTACTGTGTAACTAGTGAGACTGAAGTATCTTTATCTGCCATATATTTGTATACTCTGTGTATTACATATCATACAGTTTATATGAGTACAGAAGTAAACAGGCTTGTTGGGACTGGCCTGAAAACTCACCACAATTCTGCTGCCTAGAAAATGCTGGAATATAGTTGTCTCCCTCAGCATAAAAGCATGCTTAAATCTTTCATGTTAAAAAACAAAACTTCTTTCTCCCTCTAGTAACTGTTTCTTCGTTATCATAGCCAAACTTCTTGAATGTTCCATCCATCCTACTGTCAATACCCCATTTAAAAAATTTTGAGAGCATTCGAGATCTTGCTCCCCAGCATCTTTCACCAGTTTCGCTCAAATAAACTTGTATAAAAATTCAGAACATTTTTTAAATGTTCAGCAGCTTTCAGGATAAACTTCCAAACTTATATTTGGCAATCACAAGGCCCATCATGATTTGGCCTTTCCATACCTCTCCAGCCTCATTCCCTACCACTGTCTTGTGTACCTTTTACTTCAGGTATTCTGAAGTACTTTTCATTTTCCTAATTTATCATGCTATTTCCATCCCTATTTAATCTACAACTTGTGTCCTCTGCAAGGAAATCTCTCCCCAATCCCACCCCACTTCCATGCCTCCACTTTGACCTGACTGCTTATCTTTTAAAATAACTCGAATATCACTCCTAAGAAACTTCTCCTGATTCCAAAATCTGATACTTCTCATTTGTTTCCATAGTATCCTGAACATCTTAAGATTACTGTGCAGATAGATAAATGAGATTTATCTGATTACAGAAGAGCTAAGCTCCTGAAAAGGCAGAGTCAGAGAATTTAGCACTTCTGCAGCAGTGCCTGGTACATAGTAAATGCTCAGGAAACACCTGCCAAGTGAGTAAACAGACCATCTGTAAGGTAGGACTAACTACATAGGCATGTGAATATGTATACACACAACTTCAACAGTAATATAGTCAATTTTATTTTATCACCCTTTATCCCATAAGAGGAAAAACTGATAATGTGGACTGTACTAAAAAGAAAAAAACCCTTTTACTCATCAAAATAAACAAACAAACAAATAAATAAATAACCAAATAAAAAATAAGTATAGAAAAATGGGCAACATATTCTTCACAGGTAAAGAAATGAAAATGGCTCTTAACGATACGAAAAGATAGCCTCATTTATAATGAAAGTTAAAACTACATGAAGATGTTTTATCAATTAGATCATATTAAAATGTACAAATTTGATGTCTGTTGGGAAGGTTATGGGAAAGCAGGAATTCATTTATTGCTATAGGAATGCAAAAGAGTATAATCTCTATGAGGGGAAAATAAGTCTAGAACCCACAGTTCATTCAACCTCTTATCAGCACTTTCAACTTCCTTGATGGAGGCTTATTTTCACCATATATGTAAATCTCAAATCTTAAATTAATCTGACCACCCATCTTCTTCCCCTGTGTCTTATGCAGCCAAATGATTTCCAAAATGATAAATTATCGATTTTCTGCTCTTATATCAGCCCAAATGTATCAAATATATTCTGCTTGGCATTCAGAAGGCATTTAATACCTATAACTTACTCTTCCAAAATTACTTCTGAATACCTTGTAGTCCCCTCAGTTTGTGCCAGTGTGTCTGTTGAAATACTACCCTTTCTTCAAGGTAGATCAACAGCCAAATTCTAAGCTCTATGGAGGCACTGTGTCTGTCTTGCTGGCACAACAGTCCCAGCAATGAGTATGTGTGGAACAGAGGTACTCAATTTTGCTAATGTAATATGTAATTATTACATAATATTAGCACATACTGCTTTCTATTATGACTATCTGAGTACAAGTCTTTCCAACTGTTAGGAGATAGACCATTCCTTATTATATATTTCACAGCATCTTTTTTTAAATATCAGTAGTTCTTCATTATTGCTGTGTACTATTCCATTTTAACAAATATACCACAATTTGTTTATCCTGCTAATGGACATTTGGGTTGTTTCTGGTTTGGGAGTTACTATAGATAAAGCGGCTATGAACATTTTTATATGAGTCTTTTTATAGGTATATGCACTCATTTCTCGGGTATAAAGCTGTGAGTAGAATTACTGGGTTAAAGGGTAGGTATGTTTAACTATGAGAGACTGACAAAAGTTTTCCAAAGTGACTGTGCCATTTTATACTCCTACCAACAATGTATGAGGGTTTTAGGTGCTTCATGTTGGTACTGTCACTTGGAGTTGTCAGTCTTTAATTTTAATCATTTGGTGAGTGTAGTACTACTCCCTAGTTTTAATTTGTATTTTCCTGGCAAGTAATGATAATGAGGATCTTTTCACAGGCTTATTACTCATTTGGATGTCTTCTTTTGTGCAGTATCAATTGTTTTTACTCATTTTTAAATTGGGCTGTATATTATGGATATATATTATGGTCCTGTGTCAGATGTTCTCTTTATCCTCACAGAATCTTTAATTAATACTCAATAACTACCCACTGACTGAATAAGTGAGGATCATTACTTGGAATGAGACCAAAGACTGGGATCGAGGATTATCTTTCAGAGTGAAATCAATGTCACCCTGATAATTTTTAATTAAAAAAAGGCCTTTTAAGAGATATATTTGTGCAAAGGGAAATGCACTTCTCATATCAAAGTTAAAAGTTAATCATACAGTAATACACTCTCAGAGTTGAAAAAGGTAGTGTAAATCAACTGCAAAAGTGGAAGTTGTGTCCCTTTATATCCAGTTTTACCTCTTTTATTTAAGCTTGAGACCACAGCTGGAGAAGCAAATGCAAAGCTATCAGGAGTAAGTAACTGATGTGTGGATTAACAATAAAGTTCTCTAGCTCCCAATCTAAACTCAGGGAAAAAAGCTTGGGAAACCAACACTAAAACATATTACAATTACATTTCAATAATCTTTTCTTTTCTTCTTTTTTTAAATTTCCTCTCATCCGGCTGTAATCAGACACTTGAATTGGTGGGGAGGACCAGCCCCAGACAGGGACGGAGCCAGTTCTTTGGCCATTCCCAAGACCTTGAAGGGACACTGGGTCAGGTGCAGAGATCGCTTCCTTTCACTCGCCGATACCGCTTTCCTTTTGATTGGTTGATCCAGGATATCTCTATACTATACTAGACGCCGATTGGCCAGCCTACAGCCAGGGAAGCCTTGCCCGCAGACACCTAGGAGGACTAACGAGGTCCTGGCGGAGGACAGTCCAGGGACCCCAGAGCAGCTATGTGCCTACCTGCTGAGATGCGACACTCCTGCAGCCTGGCTCGAACCCTCAGCTCCGGTCACCAGCTCACTACCCTACCCAGCGGCTTAAGGTCTAATTCTCACATACACCCCTAGGCGGTGCCGCTGGCGCCACTCAGGGCCGCGGTCACCGCCACCGCCTTTCCTCCCCAGCGCCTTGGCTACAGTCAGCACCATCCCTATTACCCTTGATACGGAAAGGCGACCGAATCGCGTTACCTGAACGACCCTGCTGGCGGACGCCATCTTGCTGCCCATCATGACCCCCGAGAAGGGGCAGCTTCCGGGGCGCTCGGGAGCCTCAGCGATAACAGTTGTGGGCGGCTGGGGGCGGGCCCTGCCCGTGACGTCACGGAGGCGGGATCAACCTCCACTGTGAAGCTAGCTCCACCCCTCTGCGCCTCACCCCGCCCCTCCCCTCTTCCCGCCTGGAAACTGATCCACTTGTTTCCCATGGTTTTCGTTCTGCAGACGAAGTTTTGTGATGTGGGTTTATTTTGCTCATTAGCCACGAGTTATCTAGGACCGTTTCCTCTTCAGAAATCTAGTTCCTAATTTTAATATAGTTCGAAATTTAATTAGAAACCAAATAAGTAATACAATCTCTTGTGACTTCTTGTTAAAATCTTGTTAAAACTTGGGAGTTAATGGAGAGCTCAGTCAGTTCAGGGTCTACACAAAACCATCTTATAGGCGCTTGTTTATTGGTGTTGCTTGAATTGGTCTTCTATTCTTGTTTTCATCCTGATATTAAACTGATGCCTGCTTCAAATTTGAGAACTCAAAAAGTTCAAGTTTTTCTTTTTTGAAACATGTCATCCGTATCATTTCCCAATTCTATGGTAAATATTAATGTTTATATTGTTGTAATTTTTAATACACAATATGTTACTTAACACAACTTTGTAGGTAATGTGGCCTTAAGCAATGATAAATATTTAGAGTGACAAATTTGTTTTGATGCTCTAGCTCAGTAGTTTCTAAATCTGGGGAGCTGTTAAAGAAATGTTACTGAGCCTAACTATGGAGACCAGAAATCTATTTTTTAGAAAGCTTTCAACGCTTGTTTTAGCAGTGCGTATTCTAAAATTAGATTGATGAGCAAAAGACATAAAAGATGGGCAAAAGACATAAAAGAGAGTCCTCTCATAATGTGTATCAAATCATCACGTTGTATAAGTATCTTATAATTTCGTTAATGACCTCAATAGTGTGTGTGGGCGAATCGCAAAAGCAACAGCAGCTGATGCCTAATACAGACTTTTCATTTACATAAAAACAGCACGTTTGTGAAAATCTACAATATTAGATTCTTGTCCTGAAATCATTTAAAAGACAGACTTCCTTGGTTATTTTTCTAAATAAAATATTTTCCATTTTCCTTTATGCTATTACTGGAGAGATGAAGAAAATGGGTAAATAAGTCCCACGATGTAGATAGAGATTTTATTAAAACATAAACTTTCCAAATCCTCTAATACCAAGAAGTCTCCTGGGAATACCTGATAATAAATACACAAAATGCCAAATGCAGTGCAAATTATTGGTCATATTGATATGGATTTTGTTTTGGGAAAGTCTGCCAGGAAAATGCTGTAACTTTTCTCTAACTGTAGGTTTATTTCTAAGTACTGGCATTCATACTCCTTCACAATATTCTCATCCAGGGTTAGCCGGGATTTTAAAAGATTTTAAAAGACTGATTTACATGTTAAAATCTTTGAGTTCCCAAATGAGAAAGCTACTGAGGGGGGCATACTTTTTAATGCCCTCCTCAGATATGGTCAAGGTAATGGAAAGGGAGAACCTCCCAAAGGACAAAGAACCATGGATGAAGAACTGTTTCTAAAGAGCACCATGAAAGCCGAATCCCTAGGGAGCACCTAGAGCCTAATCACTATTTCTAGAAAGAGAACAAGCTATGTTTCAGAATTGCTATAGACCTTGTCCACTATTGTTTGCTGACTGTGTGAAGCAATATAACTGGCCTTCTCAGTTCACAAGCCTCTAGATCAATAAGAGTCATATCTGGACCTGATGTGAAGGACTGTCATGTGATCCTGAACTTTGAAACCACTGGATGACACGGTTAGCTTATCTTCCCTGGAAAGGATGCATCTTTTACATACAGAGGGAAAGTTAATATTTAAGACCAAGGCAGCAGACTGTGAGAGACTGTAGTCTCTTCAACAAATATCCATTTTCTATCTACCACTCTGAAACACAGCACTCTCCTGCTGTGAGAGAAGTGTACTTTCCTGCCCCAATGATTTGGGCTGGCCAATGGAACCTGGGTAGAAATAATGCACCTCTTCCAAGTAGAAACTTTAAATGTGTTTGTGTAATTTGACTTGGCCTCATAAGCGATAAGAATGTTTCAGATTGTGGCTGCTCCCTCAAGCCTGGGTCCTAGAATTATCAGCCAAACCATGGATCCAAAAGAGAAATAAAA